CTATTTTAACCCCTGCTGGGGTAAATTCATGGAAATTTGCATTTCTTCTCCCAGTGTAGGTAAAGGCAGCTTGGAGGTGATAATATTTCATGGCAAACAAGTCTTCTACCACAGTGGTCTTCTCCTTTAAATCATAGCCTCAATATACTCAGGAAAAAGAACTGTGGGCAAGGAGAAGACCCTCCCTCATGCTGAAACAAAATAAAAGGGACATATGACAGAATACAGTGCCACTGATCAATTTATCAGCAGAGAATTGAGATCTTCAGAGTGAGATTCATAAGGCTAGGCCTATCAATAGCAACTAGCCAAAATAACTAAATGGAATCTCCCAGACATTTGAATGCTTTTCTTCAGAATTGCAAAACTTTCTCTTGATAATCCTAAAAAAAAGTATACATTTATCTACTGTCTGGGGTTTGGGGGGGTTAAGTTGGGCCCTACTTATCTTTGGTTTTTTGTTATACAACTCGCAGTTGATGCTATGTGTACAGGATTCCTTTTAAAAGAACTTGCCCATGATCACACATACACACAAGTGTTAAAAGAGACTTCTGTTTGAAGCTTCAAATCCCATGGAGAACTTCTTCCACAGTTCCATGCAGAGAACCTAGTATCCCATAATCAAAAGTTAGCGGAGAGTCTGCTAAGGAATACTATGATTAAGAGAATAAGCTGGGGTTTCCATGGCTTGATCTTCACTTTATCCACCAACAGTGCAATCCAGTGCACACTTACCTGGGAGAAGGCCCCACTGACTACAGCAAGACATTCCTAGGCATGTGTATGAACTGTGCAGAAGCTCACCAGGAAGACATAGCAAAGTTGACACCTCTCAGCTCCAGTACCCACTCCGCTCGTTAACAGGGAAACAACTGTATTAGCTTACCATACAATGAAGTCGCAAGTATCATTGACCAGGGGTCCTAACATTTTTTCCCCCTTCTTTTATTACTGAGCCTCAAGACAGCTTACAGGATGTATAATCATATTTTCTTTTTTATGTTTCTTGCTTCTATGCTTTCCTATCTAGCCCTATACGTGGAAATATACTAAGCTGAAGCATTGATTATCTTACCATGTTTCGATTTGTTGCGATACTTTTTGATGTTTTATATTCTTATATTATGTAATGTCCTTAAAATGTGTTCAACAAATTATGTTTTATGCTTCTCACTTTTCCCTTTGTCCCTTTTCAGTTTGTATCCCTCTAATGGTAAAATAAAACATAAATTAGAAAAGGACAGCTTACAGGAGAAAACCTGCCAATTTACGTGAGCAGTGGAAGACCAATAAATTTGTTGTGAGAATGAAATGGGTAAAGCAGAAGATGTTGTAAGCCAATTCAGTTCCCCACTGAAGAGAAAAGTGGGCTATAAATATATAAACATTTCTCACATGCAGTTTCCCCAGTCTAAATTTCCTCTACTCAAAACTGCTGTTAGCCTTGTGGGAAAAGAAAGATTACAGGTGAACACTCTGTGCTTGTATTAATTCCCCCTGTAGTACTAGGGCCCCAGTCACATGGGCCGGATAACGCGGGGGGGAGGTGGGGATTTTTGCGCCACCGCAATTAGAGCCGCCATATCGCGATCCCACGTGGCGGCAGCACACCACAGTTCCGTCCCTCCGCACCTGCGCATCAACAAGGGGCCGAAGGGAAAAGCCACGGCCGGCGCGATCACACCGAGGGACTCTGGAGGCAGCCCGTGGCAAACCGGTTGCTAGTACCTTCGAGCAGGTAGTTTTTAATCATGCATTTTCGGTGGTATGCCACGGGTTTGCCACAGGTGCGTGCCACTTCCCAGATGCTGCGGTGTGATCGCGCCAGGATAATCCGCCATGCAATCGTCGCTCTCCCGCGGCAAATCCTCCGTGTGAACAGGGCCTAAGTTAACAGCAACTTCAGGCCATAGAGTGGATGATTATGTGATTTAAAGGACAGAAATGCAGCTGCAAGTGAAAGGGGAGGGAAGGGTTAAGCATTAAACACCTTAGCCAGAATTCCATTTGATGAAAAGATGGGGAAGCACAGGAAGAATCATGGATCTCTCACGTCACATGTGGTTTGACCCTAATTAGCCATGCAAGGTACTTTATTTGAAATCAGTTTAGCAAAAAAAAATGCCTCCTTAGCTCCAAGGAAGAGTTCTTCAAAGCAGTAAACAATCTTGCTGTTTGGTAAGCAGCAGCCAAAACCTTCCTCGTCCACCACTCAAAGGAACATTTTTGCATATCAATGGCTCCTTCCTGTATCAACAAACCTTTAAAGGATAAACTCAGACTACACTAAAGCAAAGGGGGACAAGAAATATTGACAACTGTCCAATACCATCAGGCATTTTTGTGCTTTCTTTCCTAGGCATGTAGACATCCTGTGAAAATGTGTGCTGGGGGGGGGAACACTTTAAAGGGGAATGAATTCTACTCGACAACTGGATCCTGGGAAGAGATAAGTGTGGTTAACTTAAGAATGGCTTATTTTCTTTAAACTTGGTTAAGTAGGACTTCCTAATACTTTACCCGTGATTAAGGACTGACTGCAAACCAAGATGTGAAACCACAATTTGAAATGGAACTTATAAACTACAGTTTATAATAACCATGGATAACCTTTCTTCCTGGTGGTGAAAAGAGAACTGAGGGAAGGGGGCACTCCTTCCTCACATGATGTGATCGTTTCAGTGGGAAGCCACATCATGCATGCATGGAAAACCCTTAGGGACTAGAAATAAAAAAAAATCCTCCACAACTGGCAAATGAAGTGCCAACATGGGACTGTACAAAAGTCCATATCTGGAACATACCAACAGCTTATAAGGTTGCACTTTTATGCCAAAGTTGCTGTAGAGTTAAGACCAAAAGGTCAAATGTTCACATAAATATAAGGGTAGAAGTAGAAGAAGAGTTGATTTTGATACCCTGCTTTTTTCCACCCTAAGGAGTCTCAAAGCACGTTACAATCACCTTCCCTTCCTGTCCCCACAACAGTCAACTTGTGAGGGGCTGAGAGAGTTCTGAGAGAACTGTGACTGACCCATGGTTACCCAGCAGGCTTCATGGGGAATCAAACCCAGTTCTCCGGATCAGAGTCTGCCGCTCTCAACCACTACACCATGCTGGCTCTGTACTCCAAAGCTGGGGATATGGGGGCATTTTCCCATATTCCAAAGCTGGAGATATGGTCCATGTACCAGCTTGGCAATAATGGGAGAGTGGAAGTCTTCCAGCCCACGGACTCAAGACTTGGAAAGGCATGTAGAAAGAAAGTGGCAAAAGATAGTAAGATTTCTTCAACATACCATCAAATGAACATTTCAGCACAACTGGATACTTAGCATTCATTATTCCTTTACTACTTTGGATCACAACGATCAAAGACGCCCATGAAAGCTGAGCAAATCCACCATTTTTGTATTTTGGTCTGCCAGATTTCTAAGAACTGCACCCACCATCCCCTTCTTGCAATCCAAGGCAGGCAATGAAACAAAATCGAACATGCGGGTAGTTCACAAGTTGAACAGGCCTGAAGTCAAACTGAGATTTCAAGTTACATGTTGATCACCCTATGAAATATACACAAAATTACTGCTTAAGTAATTTATTTCCTCCTCAGAAACACCATATACATGTTAGCACTATGTATGTTGTTAACGGGGACTGGGCTACTCTCTCTGTTGCTGTCTCTGTGAGTACGAGGGAGGACCTGGTATATGAAATTATCATAGCTCTCTATATGTTTCAAAAGCGGCAAGACAGGTAGTGACGTGTGACTGCCTGACCCACCTGTAATCCTGAGCCTGTCAGAGAGAGGTTGTGGAGGGTGATAGGCACTCTGCATGAGTGAGAAATAAGCTGCCACACAATGTATGTTGTTAACAATGTATGTTGGTGTTTTTGTTTGTTTTTCAACCTTTATCTAGTAGACGAATTTTTGTTCAAACCAGAAAGGTGGAGAAGCCTTTCTGACTTCACTTTCTGCAAACTTGCCAAATTCAGGAGGGAAGTTGTTTCAAGTGTTCGTCTCTCTAAAACTGGTAACTCAACTTTTGTCATAAGAATGTCATATGCCAGTTTCAGTGTGTGCACGTGTATGTGAACATAAAGATGCAGACATATGCACTCTTAAACATAGACAGCAGTGCTCAGAACATAGTAGTCATGGCACACGTAAGTCTCCCAAAAGAGGTAATAAAGTCATGGCTCTGGTTCCGATTTTGTCACTGATCTTATTTGTGATTTGCTCTGGCACATTTACAACACCTGATAAAATTCCCACATGTTTCTGTTTGGTTCATCTTCATAATTTTTTTGAGATCTACAGGTACGATCCCAAACTGGTATAATATCACTGGGCATTAGGTGTGTACATTTTTTTAATTAAATAAATAGGCACCTGCCCTTAACAAGGTCTTTCAGATGGTTTAAAGCAAACAAACATCAAAGATGGCATTTGCTTATTAGAGACTCCTGAAAGGCTCACTGACACTACAGAGTGACAAACAACACTTGCTTCTGTGTTAGAAAAGGTTTCTAAATGCTGATGCTGGGATGGAGACTTTTTTGCAAATTCCAGAGCCTTTTTCAACATGTGCAAGTCTAGTTCATTTTATTCAGACCCACATTTAATTTTTTTAAACATAATTCTGTAAAATATAGGAATTAGGATGTTGTAAATATTTCAAGAGCCACCCACATATTCACTTAATTGGAGAACTTTACCCTGTTCTCAAAACACTGAATTTTGTGTCCCACCCAATCCCTCATCTATGCATGGGGTTCTTAGTCACTCGTCTCCTGCCTCTAAAACTCATGCGTCCGGCATCTCCTTGCCCTTACAAGACCCCAAACCATGCCAAAAACCCCAGCCAAATCTTGCAATATTAATGTGGTACAAATTAATCAGGTCTACTGTGCGATAGCATGGTGCATTCTGAACCTTTTAATTCTGCCTAAGACTGCAAACTCTAACAATGGTTTTAAGCCCATTTATTTCTCTTTTAAAGGGGGTCATAGCAGTTCATTTTCTCAATTAAGTATCCCAAATCCTTGCTTATATGCCTATTTAAAAAACAAAACAGCATTTAAGTACATCTCAACTTCCATCTGAGTAAACCCAACTGACATAAATACAGCATGAATTTTGTAATGTGAGTGTTCAGCAACTCTGAGGGTAATCCAGAAGTCATTTCGAACCCTCAAAGAATTCGTGATCTTGAATTATGGTACCAGATGAAACTGGGCCAGGGGACCTCTGATTTGGGCTCATCTGGAAGAAAAAAGTTGTAATGACAAACAGTGCAATGATCTGCAGAATTACTGTGGTCTAACCTCATGGATTTCAGTGGACTTAATTCAGAGAAATTCTGCATGAAACTTGCACTGAAAGCTCTTTCTAGAAAGATATTTTCTACTTTTTCTTGTGAAACATCATTGGGCTTTGCTGTCACATAGCAACTTTTTTTTTTCTTAATGAACCAAAAAGTAAAAAAGAAAAGAAAAATAGGCACGACACATGTAACTCAAAGAAGGCCCAGAGATACTGCTGAATTCAGAATTGTGCCGAAGCACACCGGGGGGGGGGGGGGGGGAAAAAAGGGGGGGAGGTAATATACAAAACGAGCTGCCACCACACTGCCACCAAAGTCTCCAAGTACAGCTACTTACAAAACACTCCTCCCTCAAGCAACTGCAATAGGTCATGTTTTACACTGAACAATTTAAATAAATGAAGGTCTAGAGAGTGTGTCCCATTTTCAGAAGACCAGCCAGCAAAGAGGTATGCTGCTTAGAAGTCAAAGAGGCCATGCAGTAAGGGAGCACTGAAGTTTCAACTCCTCAATTCCTTCAGTTTCCAGCACAACTGTAGACATGCCAAATGTTCTATTTAATTACACTGTGCTCTCTCTCATTTTTTTCCCCTCTAAAGTACCCCCAATTCTAACATTTTTATTATTACTTGATTCAGGTTTCACATTTTCAGCTATTTGATCCCGGGATGACTTACTTAACTACATCCTGTCAAGCCACCTTAAAATTTAGGAGGTGATTAGATCCTCTTTTCTGTAACAGATGTGCAGCCTTCTGGGATTCTGCATTTATTCTTTTCCAAATGTAACAGCATCTTGCAAAATCAGCACAGATGATTAATTTGGTACAACCCAATAGCAAACAAACGGTGGCTTACTGCTGCATCCAATGTGCAGGGTTCATACACAATGGCTAAGAAGCCAACACTTGCCATTCTACCTCTTCAAGTCTGAATAGTTCAGGACTCTGGAACTGGTAAGGTGCAGCTGGTGATGACTGAAAACTGGTTTGAAAGGGGGAAAAAACCATAATATCGTCACTTCAACAAAAAACAAAATTAGAATTTCCTACCCGTAAGAGGGACTGAGATTCATCCTTTGACTTGCTGTCTCCAGATCCAGGATACTGCTGAGGGAGTGGCCCAGATTTCTCTCCACTTCCTTGAGGCACCCCCTGGAGGAACCCCTTGGTCTCGACAGGCAAGCCATAAACAGGTCGTGCAAGGTGGGCAGCTTCTACATTTGGACTATCCCGTAAGGGCTTTGGCTGCTCTTGGCCCACTGACACAGTGGTCAGAAGGCCCAAGCTGGTTTGCGTATAGGATGGGCTCCCCCTCAAAATGTCCACTCCTCGCCAAGCTGTACCACGAAGATCGTCACCGGAGCCATCAGGCCAACCTTTCTCTTTTGCTGTTTCCTTCTCATCCAGCTTTTCCCTCTTTACTATGCACTCAGAGACCGGCTCTCCCATTTTGGGGTCTGGACTGATCAGGCTATAGACCTTCAGGTCAACTTTGGGCTCCTCCTTGAGAGCAGCAGCCACCCCATGGCCATCCTCCCCATTGGCCGTGGTGATGTCCATCTCTTGGCAGTGCGCAGTGTTGAAGTGATCCAGTAGGGACTGAGTATCAACAGCTGTAAAGCTGCATTGACGGCATTTGTAACAGTTATGAACTCTCCTGAAAAACAGAAAAAGGGGGGGGGAGTTTAATATTGTCATATTTTCACCAAATAACTCTTCTTATTCCCCATAGATGATAAGAGGGCAGGGAAATATATACATTCCGGTAGCTGCGGTGGCTCAAGTGGTTAAGACGCTGAACTGCAGGCTGTGGAAGGTCGGTAGTTCAGCAGTTCGAGACCCGAGGGTGCCGCAAGACGGAGTGCGCTCCCGTCTCTAGTTCCAGCTCCTGCCAACCTAGCAGTTCGAAAGCAAGAAATTGCAAGTAGATCAATAGGTACCACTTCGGTGGGAAGGTAACAGCGTTCCGTGCGCCTCGGTGTTTAGTCATGCCGGCCACGTGACCACGGAAACGTCTTCGGACAGCGCTGGCTCTTCGGCTTTGAAACGGAGATGAGCACCGCAACCCTAGAGTCGGACTCAACTGGCTTTCGAGCAAGGGAACCTTTACCTTTACTATAGCTAGTATATATATTTCTTCATTCAGTGGAATTTGGCCTTTCCAGACCTATAATCCCCCATTTAAATCCATCTTTCAACATAAGACCTATTTTTAATTATCAAGTCATCATTTTAGTATGTCCACTTTACGTAGCTCTGTCCCATGTCTGTGTTAATCCCTTTCAGACCATTAGGTTTCTTCCTGCTCTCTCCGCTATCCAAAAGCAGGTCATGGTGCTACTGAAGCAACCCATCCTTGGTAAAGATCCTTCTCTATCTATACATTTTCAGAGAAGCCCCCAAGTACTTATTCATGTTGAGCTGATTATCTGTGTTATTGCTTGCTCACAAAACATCTCAGTGGAAAACATTAACAAACAGAAGATTTTTACGTGCATTGTATTCAAAGGAGTGTAATTGTTTAACAGAAAGTATATTGTTAAATCTTGTTACATTAGCTTTTCCCCTTACCTCAAAAAGCCCAATTTAAACTTTTATCATATAATATAGGACGTTAGTACCGAAATCCAAGGAGATAGAAGAAATGGACTTGCATTATATAGCTCTTCTTTGTATACAAGAGCTTTAGTATTGTGGCAAAGAGTTTACTCCACTTCATACAATCTACTCGCACGACAGATAACAACTTCGGCAGGCTTTTATCTAGCCTTAGCATCATCCAATTTAGATGGGAATTCAGTTGACTCAACTAAATCTAAAATATGCAGACAATCTATGAAACCGCAAGGCGTCAGTGAGAAACAGATTTTGCTTAACCCTAAAATGCAGAAGGGGGCTAAAGTGCTAAGACTGATTATAATGACCAGTCCAATTGTCATTACATTTTCAGCTGAGACTGCCACATGCCCCCACACCCAAACACTCACAAACATTTTTTGCCTCTATGTCTACTTGTTTATTGATCCCAATGTTTGACAAACTTCATCCCTTCTACCCATTGCATTTTTATTCCACCTTTCCTCCAAGGAGCTTGGGAAAGTATACAAAGTTCATCTCACTTCCATTTTATGCTACCTATAAGGCAGTTTAGGATGTAAAGCCATGACAGGTCTGTGTACAGCAAGCTCCAGTGCAGCACTGGTATTTGAACACAGCCCCCCCCCCCGCCGCCAATTCTAGTGACTCTCCCACACTGGCTCTATACCAAGCACTGCTTCTTGGCTCTCACTGCTGCTTTAGGATTATCTGGTGACAACATGGAAGTGCCAACAGAAGCTACAACTGGCAGAATTACCACAGTATAGCCTGGGTAACTTCATGTTCTTGGCTGTCTCTACCTTGCTTGCTGAGTTCCTGACAACAGTGCACAGATCTTTCAGCTCCAAAGTCCTTCAGGTAGTTCTGCCTGAATTCTTCCTTGGACTTTTCATGTCTCCCACTTACTGTTCACTTATGTCCTATTGTGTCTCACTTCCTCTAATCACCTGTTTCATAACCAGCATCCCTTCCTCACCTGATATGGGAAGCGCCTTCAGTCTCCTCTTTCATGAACATTTGAAGTTGCCTTCTACCACCTTGTTCCATACAGTTCAATACTGTCAAGCTTTGACTGGCCGTGGCTCTCCAGGGTTTCAAGTAGAGAAAGGTCTTTTGTAACACCTGCCAACTCAAGTCCTTGAACAGGAAATGCTAGGTACTGACCCAGCATCTTGTGCATGCAAAACAAGTGCTCTACCACTGCGCTATGGCCCCACCCACTTCATTGATCCTTTTCTTCAATCCACCTTTTCCACCTGCTTTTTTTTTAAAGGTTTCTATTTCTCAATCAATTGGCCACTTTGCACCTACCTTTCAGACTTCAGGCTCTCTCTTCCTGAAGCTTTTTTCCCATTCAAGACTTCTTCCAAAATTCCCTTTATATGATGTTTTAACCCCAGATAAAATGACAATCTTTGCCCTCCCTCACAAAGGCAGGTGTGAAAACTACTTTTGTCCTGTACAGGCGTGGGGGGGGGGGGAGAGACTGTGCTCTTGGCATGCCTGACTCCCTACCCACTGGAGGACATGTCTGAATTAGAGATGTAAAATTTCAGGAAATTTTGAAGCTTGGAAAAAAAAACGTTTTTTTCCTGGGGGGAAACGGAGATTTTTGGAAAAATTGAAAAAATGCTACATTAGCATTTCTTTTGTCTTTTCGACATTGAAAGTCATTCTGTTACTTTAGGAACATAAAATATGACTATGGACATTTTTACTTGGCATGAAATTATCACAACTAGCACATTACAAATAGTGCATCCAAACAATTATTTCAAACAGAATACCCACCCACATGCAAAATCAAAACTGAAACTTTTTTATTTTCTTCTGACAATCGCACCTCCTAAAGGAAGAAATGCATCTTGTTCTTGCATTGGAGGGTTCAGTTTTTAACCTAGGACTTGCTTGTCCTCAGTGCACAGAAATTAGATCAATCTGATAACCATAAATATATATTTTAGAAATGATTTGGAAAATATTTGAACACCTTGTCTTAAAATATTTTATTCATCGTGTTAAAATAAAACGTTCCATAATCATTTTTTTTCTTTTTTCAATTTTTCCAATTTTTTGGAAAAAAACAAAAAGGCTTCAGGAAAAAAACATTTTTTCCCCGAATTTTTCCGGTTTTTTTCCGGGCCTTCACATCTCTAGTCTGAATATACCAATTATCCATGCATCTCACTTTATAAATGTACCGATCACAGGGTTAGCACCGATGTGCACCTTCTATGTAGATATGCATGGATGTCAGGTGCACTCTTGCCATTGTGGATATAATCCCCCGTGTATGTCCCAAATGTCTGCCCAAGTCTTCTGTTCCCGTAGCTGCAGACCATTCGCATCAGTTCAACAAATTAATGCTGAAGGCTTCATTGCCACAACACCAATACAATACAAATAGGAAGAGAAATACAAGATTACGTGTTTATGATGATAGCTACTAACGATGCTAGTTCTTGGTGGATTTGAATAGACTGCTAATTTTATTGAATTTCATTAATGATAACTATCAAACTTTCACCCGATTACTTACATGAAATCTTTTAATTGCTGTAAAAATTGCATCTATTAGATGTTGGAAACAGGCTATGATTGCAACTGTTAATGAGCGGTGCTCAAGGCTTTTGACTTGCTGGAAATGAACAAACACACATGTACATACACACACAATATGCTTTTCAGGTCTGTCATCAAATTCAAAGAAAGAAGATACCCATTCACTGAACACTGGAATAAGCATCCTACCTGTCTTAAAATCAATAGGAAATATTTTTCCAGTAGCACTGTTATCACTCCTTGTTTCTTCTTCCACTTCTGTTTGTGATATTTTAAAATTAATATAAAAATATACTAACTAATGGACATGACACCTGGAGGGGCTGTAAAACGAACGAACATTTTAGATAGATGTGAAGTTCTTTGTCTATTATTAGAACTTCTCGAGAAATATTCTTCTTGGTGATCACCAAGGAAAAAGCTATTTGTAGAGTCCTTGTCAATTAAGTTTTCTTTTTAAATGAATTCTGGACCAAAACAAATTGATTTCAAATGGATTAGTATTACCAATACACTAGAATTTTAAAAAAAAACTCTATTCATTAAGAAGAAAATGAGGAGGAGGAGGAGATTGGATTTATACCCCGCCCTTCACTTGGAGTCTCAGAGCAGCTTACAAACTCTTTTCCCTACCCCTCCCCACAACAGACACCCTGTGAGGTAGGTACGGCTTTCAAAAACAGCTCTGAGAGAACTATGGCTTGCCCAAGGTCATCCAGCAGCTGCAAGTGGAGGAGTGGGGAATCAACCCTGGTTCTCCCAGACTATAGTCTGCGCACAACCACTACACCAAACTGGCTCATAGATGCACCAAAAATATGAAACTCACTAGACAATACAATCCTAAACAAAGTTACACCTTTCTAAACCCATCAATTTCAAATGAACTAAGAAGGCTGTAACTCTGCTTAGTATTGTATTGTAATGTACTGGCATTCAAGTGCCTTGGCAAAAGCTGGATAGGTTTCAGGAATAATTGAAACAGTTTATTATTTTTCTTGGCATGCTCCCAAGAAATTAATACTTATCAGACATTTTCTTTATTGCAATTCAATTTATTTTGATACTAAAAGGTTTCGATTTAATGTTCGGACAATTTAAATGTCAATGATACTGTAAACTTACGATATATACATAAAATAATGGGAGGAGGAAACGACAGGTGCCATTTATCTTTTTTTTTTAGCCATCGTTCACTGATAACTTTACCCCACTGAACAATCGAGAGTTCATTCAAAAGGGAAAAAAATCAGAGTACAGAGAGTCTTCGAAACTAAAACTGTTTACTCCCAAAGCAGTATGCTTTGTGTAGAGAACAAGTCATATTTGTTCTTTTATAGACATTCTTAAGGGTTTTTTAAAGAGAGACTTTTCTTAAGGGAAAAACAAGAGAGCGGATTGTGCAGCAGAATATTGCATTGCACTGTGAAATTCGGGGCGGACGGGGGGATACTTGGAACAACCATGAAAGCTTCGACTAAGAACAGAGAGTAAAAC